TCAACCCCCTCAAAAATAATCTTAAGCGCCTCTTTCTTAGAAGACTTTACCACCTCCGCTGCTGCTTCAGCAGGGGCTTCCCCTCCTGAGCTATATAACTACAGTACAACCAGTAAGCAAATTAATAGTTAGTAAGGCTCTACTTGGCAATATTGTGGATCCCGCAGTATTAATTGTATAAACATTAAATGCCTGTAAAATGTAAAAGACTAAAGTGACTGGACTTGATTTCTATAGCAGTTGTGTTAAGACTTTTAGACTTCTGAATTTTATTTTGTACTTTTTATTTATGTATTTTATTTTTATTTAATTTTTTGGTTAGTGAATGTAATATAGTTGCAGAAAAATGGCTGGTTTATTTAAAAAAAAAAAAATTAGCAGGCATAAAAATACTTGAATATTTATATCGTTCAAGCAAATTTTTCTTAAATAAGCACTATTAAAGGTCCATTATTACTTTTCTGCGATTTTTCCATGTCTTGTCTGCAACTCAGCCACAATTATTTGAAGATCATCATCCTGCGATTCAAGTAGGGCCTTAACAGTTAGTGAAATATCTTCATTATAGCTGGTTTTAACTCCCAACCCCCTTAAGAAAAGACCAAGATTGGTTCTGAGAAAAGATGGGGAGGAGGATTGGACCAGAATATCAATTTAATATTATAATTAATAATAATATAATATACAGTGCAGCAACGCTTAAAGTTTGGGCAACTTCATCGTTTAGCAGTGGGAGGAATAGATCCACAGGCACCAAGGAATTCACAGAACAGATACAAGACAATATTTGAGATGACCATGTAGACTGTTTGTTTGTCTCTATCATAGAGCAGACTAAGTGAAACATAAGGTAGTAAGTGTAGTGAGAGACTAATTTTTATTAAATATCCCACATTTTGGGAAACACAAAAATTACTTTTCAGGGAAAGTTTTTAATTTGACTTATTAATGCACTGCTTTCGGGTAAAGTTTGCAAAAAACCTGAAACATCCTTAGTTTACTAATGGGGAGCGGGTACTAGTAGTTAAGTAAAAGTGTGGCCAAATAGGTCCTGTATTGCTGCTGGATGCTTTCCAGGCCTGGGTTCCAGCAAACAGCTGGAAGGGATGAATTTCAGAAACATGGGTGCTCTACTGGGAATTTTCTGCCACTGTTTGTGGAATTCTCAAACCTAGATTACCAGTAGATAGTTGCTGTGACTGGATAAAGGAAGAGAGGCAATCCCTCAGCTGAAATTTAGAATATTTATGCTTTTATAAATTTAACAGAGGCCAGTGCAGAGGGTTGATGGTATGTGCTCTTGGCTGCTCATTTCCTTCAAGAGGCAAACCATTGCAGTCTATACAAGCTGAAGACAATGCCACAGATTTGGGTAAAGTAACCTTCAGAAAATTGCTGAGTATTAACATTTTTTCATTGATTGTGTTCCATCATGTTTTTAAAATCTTGTTTGTAAGGCATAATGAATGTTAATCACAACAATAATTGTCATTAATTTTAACTTGTATCTTCGTATAAAGGGCCAAATCCTGATCCTATGTGAAGTCAATAGAGAGAGAAATTCCCATTGACTTCAAACCAACCAAGAATTGTCCCACATGTTGAATTTTCAAAAGTGTTCCCAAATCATTTAAGTACACAAGCCTGTTGATTTTTGTGTGCTCCTAAACTCACTTAAGTGCTTTGGAAAATCCCACACATGGAATTCAAAACAGTAAATTATGAGATTACTACAAAGCATAGGAGAAGAGGAGGAAAGCTTCTGAAAATCTTTCTCCTTCAAAAGTCTACAGCTATTAAAGTTAGTAACCCTAGTGAATGTTGTTATTCCCCTTTAGATGTGATTTTAGGTGGGGCTTGTATAAAGGTAGTCATTTAGAAGGATCACTTTTTCTGTGTAGACATCTGCAAGTCTAGTATGATAAAGCTCCAGTGTCTGGCAACTTGAGCACGGTATATAAGAATTGTTCACTATGCAACAGGGATGCAGGACATGTTAAAATCATGAGTGACAAGTTTAGTAATATCCTGTGTCAAAGGAGTTAAGGGATTTGCCCATTCTTTACCATCAGGTGACAACCCCAAACTAAAGCATATAAATATTAGACATTGGTTGAGATTTTCGAAGAAGTACTAGGGATTTAGCTAGGCGTCTTCCATTTAACTTTAAATTCGGGCCATTCTTCCAGCAAAGGTTAGTGTTAAAAATAAATAAATAAATAAATTAAATATATATGCTAGTTGCTTTACCTTTTTCCCATGTGATTAATTTGCTCACAGTGAATTGTAGCCTGCCACCTTGTCCCAAATAACCTGTCCTTTTAACACATTTGTGTTCTTCTTTCGCAGGATTCAGACCTTCAAGCAAGTCCACTACCTTGAAAGTGGTGGCTGAACATCTTCCAAGTGAGTTCCATCTCCAGGGCTTGACTGCTTCTCAAATTAGTAGGCTTTATCTGCCCCTCTCCAGCTCAGGTCCTTCCCCAGACAGGATTCGGAAACTGTACCCTTCTTCTGTGGATCCCCAGGCAGGTAAATGGATATAACAGACCTGCCATAACAGAGGGAAAACACCGCACTCCACCATGTTAAATTAAGTTATAGTGCAGTTATTGAACCAGACCTGTTGAAGAGCCATGAACTGAGGACAACCCACTCCCGGCCAGTTCTCAAAAAATGTCATGGATATGAGACATGCTGCCTGTAACGATGGACTGGCACAGAGCGCTTGTGGTGCTGAAAAGATCTCTTCCTGTCTTGTAAGGTTTATAATGGTCTATACTTTGGCTTCATCTGAAAGACCAATTACCATTTCAAGGTATGCTATTTTGGCAGCCATCAGGTCTAGAAAATAATGCTTTATTCCTTGTTGAAAAACCAGGAACTCAAGTTTTCAAGTGATACAAAGCATTTCTTTTTCTTTAGTGGTTCATTAGAGCTGTTAGTGGTTTGGTTTAGATTACTAATTAACAAGACTTCAGATAACTTGGTTCATCAGTTTATTAAACATAGCTAAATCAGCATAAATAGAGAGGGTCCTACATTACCAACTGTGGAGAATGGTCTTGTGGCAGTTTCAAACTGTTCCAAATTGCGACCTCCGTTTGGCTCATCATTTTTAACTACCCTTGTTTATGACAGAAAATTCCACAGATTCAACTAACCTTACATAGCTTTTCTTATCTAAGCATCATATATATTCTTTAGGGTATACAGATTGCTGTGCCA